TAGTCTAGTCTAGTCTAGTCTGGTATGTTCTGTTCTGTTCTCTTCTGGTCTGGTCTGGTCTGTTCTGATCTGGTCTGTTCTGGACTGGTCTGGTCTGTTCCGTTTTTTCTGATCTGGATTGTTCTGGTCTGTTCTCTTCTGGTCTGTTCTGGTCTGTTTTGTTCTGTTCTGCTTTGGTCTGGTCTGTTCTGTTCTGGTCTGGTCTGTTCTGTTTTGTTTTTTTTCTGTTCTGGATTGTTTTGGTCTGTTCTCTTCTGGTCTGGTCTGGTCTGTTCTGGTCTGTTTTGTTCTGTTCTGCTCTGTTCTGCTTCGGTCTGGTCTGGTCTGGTCTGGTCTGGTCTGTTTTGTTCTGGTCTGGTCTGGTCTGGTCTGTTCTGGTCTGGTCTGGTCTGTTCTGTTCTGTTCTGGTCTGTTCTGTTCTTTTTTGTTCTGTTCTGGATTATTCTGGTCTGGTCTGGTCTGGTCTGTTCTGTTCTGGTCTGGTCTGTTCTGTTCTTTTTTGTTCTGTTCTGGATTGTTCTGGTCTGGTCTGTTCTGTTCTGTTTTGTTCTGGATTGTTCTGGTCTGGTCTGGTTTGTTCTGTTCTGTTGTGTTCTGCTCTTATTGTTCTGTTCTGTTCAAACAGTGATTTTAATTAAAATTCACCTAAAAATAAAATACATTTTAAATAAAAACTATGTATTAGTGAGTATTAATAAAACAAGCAATAAACCCACTTGAGTACAGCAGTAATGTTGTCTGTTTTGTCTGTGTGTGTGTTTCCTCAGATAAGAACATTGATGATGAAGACTCAGTGGATGGAGGTCGATCCTCATCATCCTCTAAAGGAGCTTCAGTACGGAGAACAGGATCCACACGCAGACCCAGCTCCGCCTCCAGCAGACCAAGCTCCGCCTCCAGGAGACCAAGCTCTGGTCAGAAATAACAAAACTGGACAAAACAGATTTTTCATAATAAAAGTCGTTAAAAGTCTCATTGACCTGCATTGTAAAACCCAGTCTGCTTTAAATAAATACTAGAAATATAAAACATAGAGTGATGTAAAAAACAAAAGTTTGGGCACCATATACAATTAATAATATAATCATTGAAATTGAAATCTTAAACTGAAAGATAAATGTTTAAAATATAATTATGTATTTTTATTTTAATTACTATATTTGTATTTGAATTTGGAAGATTATCAGATATGTCCAGAATAAAATGAACACAAATATTACCATCCAGAGATAAGTCTAGTGCTCTCCTAATGTTTTTCACAGCTGAATATACTTTTTTATTCGAGTATTGATGTGATATTTATACATTTATAGTCTTAATATATTAATATGCTCGGATATAATAAATCTAAAGGAATAACTGTGTTGTTTTTGCAGGTAAAGAGAGCTGTGGTGCCGGAGCTGTGGATGAAGAAGACTTCATTCGTGCCTTTGAAGATGTGCCGACTGTACAGGTGAGAAATACATATTAACACATGAATAAATATACACATGCTTGATTTTATTTGAATTAAAGGAGGAAAATGATGGATTTAAGTGATCAGTAGGGAAAGATACAAAAATAAACTGAATTGTTAAATAAATTGCATCATGGCTTCTACAAACATGTGATTTGATGACTGATAATATTCAAAAGTGTTTCTTGATCATTGAGTGAGAATATGGCTAGGGTGAGGATGCTGAAAATTCAGCTTTGCATCACATAATTACATTTTTTTTTTACAAAATACATGTGAAACAGCAAAAACAATTATTATTATTATTATTTTTCTTAGTTAAATATAAAATTCTAATTAAACAAAAAATGAAATGTGCTAATAATATTATGGAATTATGGTTAAATTATTGATGTTTATTTTACTTTTTTATTTTAGCAAAATACAAATGAGAACGTAAAAAATATTGTATTTTTATGTTTTTATTTTTAGTCAAATATAAAAGCCCTGCTCCAAACTATTAATTTTAAAACAAATTTAATGAGCTAATAATAGCGTTATGGTTATATTAAATAAAATAAAATTACATAATTTAATTTAATTTATTTATTCCTAATTTAATTTAATACATTTTTTTATTTTAACAAATAAATATTATTTAAAAAAAAATATTTTTATGATTTTATTAAAATTTAAACCATTGTTTAATAAAAATTAAACAGAAAATTAAATGAGCTAAAAACAAAATATGGTTATGGTTAAATTAAATGGTTTTATTTTAATTTAATTTAATTTAATTTTATTTTATTTTATTTTATTTTATTTTATTTTATTTTATTTTATTTTATTTTATTTTATTTATTCATTTTCTTTTCAGCTTAGTCCTATTAGTAATCTGGGGTCGCCACAATGGAATGAAACACCAACTTATCCAGCATATGTTTTACGCAGCGGATGCCCTTCCAGCTGCAACCCATCACTGGGAAACATCCATACACACTCATTCACACACATAAACTACGGACAATTTAGCTTACCCAATTCCCCTATATCAAGTGTTTTGACTGTGGGGGAAACCAGAGCACCCGGAGGAAACCCACGCCAACACGGGGAGAACATGCAAACTCCACACAGAAACGTCAACTGACACAGCCGGGACTCGAACCAGCGACCTTCTTGCTGTGAGGCGACAGCACTACCTGCTGCGCCAATGCATCGCCTAATTTAATTTAATTTAATTTAATTTAATTTAATTTAATTTAATTTAATTTAATTTAATTTAATTTTAAATAGTAAAGTAATAAAAATGATTGGACTTTTATGGTTTGAGTGTTACTTAAATGTATGTAATTAAAATGACATGTGTTAACAGTTGCTTTAAAGTACTCTCATCAGTGAGAGTCAGAGAGTCTGATAATCTGCTCTGTCTCTCAGATATACTCAGCCCGAGAGCTGGAAGACTCCATCAATAAGGTCCGGGAGATTCTGTCTGATGAAAAACACGACTGGGAGCAGAGAGTGGCCGCTGTGAGTCTCTTCACATTCAGCACTGTTTAATGAAACAATTATATGTTATGTAGGTTAGTGTATGCTCCATTCAGCCGTTTTCCTTTTGTCAGCTTTGCATTTCATTTAAGAACTAATGAACTATTACAGCTGAAAACACTGTTTTGTTTCTAATTTTACATATTGTGGCAAATATCCGTGTAATAAGCAGGATAAAGTACATCCAGCGGTGATTATTGCACAAATAAACCCTTCAGTCTTCATACAACAGCTGCTGAAAACCACACACTGCAATAACAACCGGCTGGATGTACTTTACCCCTTACATGTATCTGTTCTGTTTTGCAGCTGAAGAAGGTTCGCTCTCTGCTGTTGGCCGGCGCGGGCGATTATGATGGTTTTTGTCATCATTTGCGGCAGCTGGACGCAGCTTTCAAGCTGTCGGCTAAAGATCTGCGCTCTCAGGTGGTGCGCGAGGCCTGCATAACACTCGGGTATGTGTGTGTACACTCTATAAAATGCTGGGTTTCACACAATTGGTTTGTGTGGAGTTTGCATGTTCTCCCCGTGTTGGCGTGGGTTTCCTCCGGGTGCTCCGGTTTCCCCCACAGTCCAAACACATGCGCTATAGGGGAACTGATGAACTAAATTGATGAGTGTGTATGGGTGTTTCCCAGTTCTGGGTTGCAGCTGGAAGGGCATCCGCTTTGTAAAACATATGCTAAAATAGTTGGTGGTTCATTCTGCTGTGGCGACCCTTCTTGAATAAAGGGACTAAGCTGAAGGAAAATGAATGATCTTTATTTACAAATGCCTAGTTATAGATAAGTTTGCTTTGTTCATACATAATAAAAGTCTTCTTTTGTGATGATTTCCTGATATCTGCTCAGCTTTAGCTCCATCTGTAGAGTTTAACACCGCTGCAGAGCCACTGCTGACAGATGCTGACAGACTCACTTTAATGAAAACAGCCAATTACTCTAAGTGTTCTGCTTTTAAACACTGGACACGTTCCAACACTGCACACACACACATACACACACACGCACGCACATTCTACTGATGGGCTGTGTTTCAAACTGTGCTTCACCGTCTACATAGTCAACTACCTTGAAAGGCGACATCACTGCAGAAATAAAATTAACATAAATAAAATTAAAATAAATATTGCATTTAAAAAAGAGACAAAAAATGTATTTATAGTCAGAATTATGCAAAGATTATTACTTAAAGCTTTAATTAGATTAAAGATACACTTAATAAGGGCAGCACCGTGGCTCAGTAGTTAGCACTGTGGCCTCACAGCAAGAAGGTTGCTGGTTTGAGTCCCGGCTGGGTCTGTTGGCTTTCCTGTGTGGAGTTTGAATGTTCTCCCCGTGTTGGCATGGGTTTCCTTCGGGTGCTCCGGTTTCCCCCACAGTCCAAACACATGCACTATAGGGGCACTGATGAACTAAACTGGTCGTAGTGTATGAGTGTGTGAATGAGTGTGTATGGGTGTTTCCCAGTTCTGGGATGCAGCTGGAAGGGCATCCGCTGTGTAAAACATATGCTGGAATAGTTGGCGGTTCATTACGCTGTGGCAACCCCTGATGAATAAAGGGACTAAGCCGAAGAAAAATGAATGAATGAATGAATACACACAATAATGGTTAGAGTAGGGTGTTTTATTTATACATGAATATTCTATGCAAATATAAATCTGTAAAATTCTATACACTTACGGAGTTGTTATTTAAATAGATTTTAATCACTAAATATGTGTAAAAATATATAAATTGACATCTATATGCGCTTTTATATATTTGAATTGACATTTTGCAAGAATTATACACTCACCGGCCACTTTATTAGGTACACCTTACTAGTAACTACTAGTCTTAACATACAAAGCTCTTCATAACCTGGCCCCTCACTATCTTTCTGATCTTCTTCATTTGTACACTCCTTCACGCTCACTGAGATCATCTTCTGCTGAACTGTTATCTGTCCCACACTTTAAGATGAAGTCATTTGGAGGCAGGGCTTTTAGTTGTACAGCACCAAAGTTATGGAATTC